AGCTTAGACCACCTCCCATCGCAAACCTCGTCGCCACGACTACACCGCCGCGTCGCCACGACTACACCGTCTTGTATCCACGACTACACCACCCTGTCGCCATGACTACACCGCCCCGTCTCCATGACTACACCACCCTGTCACCATGACTACACCGTCCAATCGCCACGACTACACCATCCCGTCTCCACGACTACACCGTCCCGTCGCCACGACTACACCACCCCGTCGCCACGACCGTCCCGTCGTCACGGCGACACCGCCCCGTCGTCACGGCGACGTACCTTCTCCTCGGGCTTCGGCTCCTCTGGTTTGTTCTGCTTGTTGCGGTCCGCTTCCTTCTCCCTCTTCTTCTTCTTCTTCGACTCTCGTTTCGACAGCCTCCTGTTCAAGTCGCTCTGCTCCTTGATGGCTTCCTTCGCGGAGATGGGCTTGTCGCCCTCTCGCTTGAGAAGGAAGCGCCCTTCCCGGTCGTCCTTGGACCAGTTCAGCTGCACGAAGAGGGGGAAGGCTCGCGCACCAAGCTTCCTCTCCTCTGCGAATGCAAAATCAATCATTTATTATTGATGTCATCGATCAGATTAATAGATGATGGGTCAGAAGCTATTGAATCTATTGGATGATAGATGATCCATGTAGTATTGATTGTTAGTACAGTGAACATGAACCTATGTAAGGTCTTCAACACGTCTCGTTAGACACACAGACTCCACTACACAGCCGTTAAGCCNCGCGCCGGACAAGCTTTTTTTAGCATTTTGGGTTCCTCTTGTTTTTTTTCTGGCCCGCTCGACCATTTCATTCCTCATCGAGTTAAGACTCGCAGAACACAAAGCATGGGTGTGGCAAACATGAAGAAGACTTTTAAAGATAGATCGTATATGCTCCACAAAAACAAAGTACGCGCTCCTACCTACCATCAAAGGAAATTTAGGGGTCGTCCAAGCGCCGGAACATAGATCCTCTCCCTTCTCCGAGGATGGGCCCTCTACGCTGCTACTACCTCCCATTCCAGATTCTTCAAACGTTCTGAGCCTCTGCCAGCCACCTCCCTGACTCTGGAGGCCATACCGTCACCGGCTGACTGTCTGGAGCCATAATCCTTGCACCCCTGACTCGTGGGAGCCAGTACCTTCACCCGGACTCTGAGCCAGTACCTTCACCCATGAGACTCTGGCTATATTGTGTCACGCCCCTGATCTGCCATATTACTTGCACCTGGTCACTCTGAAGCCATACCTTCACCCTGACTCTGAGCGTACCTCCCACCCTTGACTTTCTGAGCCATTACCGTTCACTTCTGACTCTGAAGCTCCCATACCTTTCACGCCTGGACTCTCGAGCTATAGCGGCTGCACTTGACTCTGAAAGCATCACTCACCTGACGTCTGAGACCATACCTTCACGCCTGACTCTGAGCCACACCTTCACCTGACCTCGAGCCATACCTTCACCCTGACTCTGAGACCACACTCTTCACCTGACTCTGGAGGCCATAGCACTTCAGCCTGACTCTGAGCCATGCCTTCACGCTGGACTCGTGAGCCAAATACCTTCACCCTGACTCTGAAGAAACCGATTACCTTATCCGTGACTCTGATACCATACCTTCACCCTGGACTCTGAACCATACCTTCACCCTTGGACTCCCTGAACCCATAGCTCTACACCGTCTGAGCTCGCCTGTCACCCCTGACTCTGAGCCATAGCCTTCATCCCTGACTCTGAACCATACCTTGCACCTTGACTCTTGTAACCATACCTTCACTTTGGGTCTGTGACTCTGCAAACCATACAGTTCAGGGGTTCCTGACTCGCCCCAGACCTTCGGGCCCTGACTCTGAGCATACCTTCACCGCTGACTCTGAACCAAGCCTTCACTCCCTGGACCTGAGCCGATACCTTCACCCTGACTCTGAGCGCAGTAGCCTTCCACCCTGACGCTCTGAACCATACCTTCACCCTGACTCTGAGCCATACCTTCACCCTGACTCTGAGCCATACCTTCACCCTGACTCTGAGCCATACCTTCACCCTGACTCTGAACCATACCTTCACCCTGAGCTCTAAGCCATACCTTCACCCTGACTCAACCATACCTTCACCGTGTGCTCTGAGCATACCTTCACCCAATAGACTCTGCAGCCAGACCTTCACCTGACTCTGAACCGATACTCACCCTGACTCTAAGCCATAGCTTACCCTGACTCTGGAGCCATACCTTCACTGACTCTGAACCCACCCTACCTTCACCCTGATCTGAGCCATACCTTCACCCTGACTCTGAACCATACCTTTCACCCTGACTCTGACGCCTAACTTCACCCTGGACTCTGAGCCATACGCTTCACTCCCGCCCGCCGGTCCATGACTCCTGAAACGGATACATTCACCCTGGACTCTGAGCCGTGTTCACCCTGACTATGAGCCCATACCTTCCTGACTGCTGAACCAATACCTTCACCCTGACTATGAACCATTACCTTCACCCTAACTCTGAGCCATACTTCACCCTGACTCTGCAGGCCATAGCCTTCACCCTGACTCTGAGCCGATACCTTCACCCTGACTCCCTCGAGCTCCATGACTTCACGCCGACTTGTGTGCAACCATACCTTCGACCTCTAGACTCTGAACCATACCGTTCACCCTGGACTCCTGAACCATGACGCTTAGCACCCTGACTCTGAGCCATACCTTCACCCTGAGGCTCTAAGCCATACCTTAACCCATGACTCTGAGCCTACCTTTACCCTGACCTCTGAGCCATAGCTTCACACCCTGACTCTGAACCATACCTTCACCCTGACTCTGAACCATACCTTCACTCTGACTCTGAACCATACCTTCACCCTGACTCGGGTCATACCAAAGACTTGAAAAATGGTACACACTGCTTCTCTGCTTAGTACTCAGCAAAAAGAGATAGAGTGTGGAAACGGTGCCAAGAAGAGAGAGCCTTGTATGCGGCGGCACCTGCTAGTGAAAACTGAGAGAATCTCTTCACTAGCCCACTAGGCCAGTAAGCCCAGTACTGAGTAGGGGCACAAAAAATTTAATTTATTTACCCCGACTCTGTGCAGTATCTTCACTCTGACTCTGACCTCTGACCCCTGACTCTGAGCCGTATGTTCACCCTGATATTGGCATTTTAACATCCTCATCCCTCGCATGCACCTTCAACACTATTAAATTGACTACGTCACGAATTTTCTATGGTAAAATTTGTGAAAAAAAATTTGCCATTTTTTTACATTAAAAGTAAGAACTAACGGGACTAAACGTATCGTCAAATTCTTACCTAATAAGATTGTATCTCAACTAGTTAAAAATCCAAAAAACCTGGCCGATTTGACATTATGTTCCTGACATTAATTGCTTGCTATGGGCTATGTATGAGTCACGAGTGCATGCATGTTAACATTGAACAATATAGTAAAACAGGAAGCAATAGTAACAATAGTAAGGAACAATATAGTATAATGCAGCAATTTAACCATAAAAAGTCAACAGAATTACTTATATTTTGTGGAAAAGTATTTTTATTTTTACTATTTACGGTGACGTAATCACTTTAACAACTTCCTTCCCATACTCCCTGCTGCCTTGCTCTGTCCTGCCTGCCCCAAACATGACCCCGTGTTAAGCCATCCATCTACTACCTAGCTAGCGTTAGATCGACAGCCGACTGCTGCGAGCTGCAGCTGCCACTGCTCCTCATCCTCGCATCTTCGGATGAGGAAGCTGCGGCCGCGGCGACGGAGCGTAACCGGAGGCGGTAACCAACCGCGCTACGAACGCAAATGTTTTCGCGCGCCGCCAAGCCGAGCTTGGCCTCGGAGCCGTAGCGTAGGTGAATATATATTAGGAGTAGATAATAGGGATCCCTATTATCTACTCCTGATATATATGTATATATATATATATATCATATGTATGTATATATATGTATGTATATTATATAGTATATATATAATATGTAGTATATATAAATATATATAGTATATATGTATGTTATATATATTATATTATAATATATATGTATGTTTATAATATATATATTATATGTATGTAATGATATATCACGTAGCGTCAGGTGAATAATATAATGTATATATATATATCTATATATATATGTAATGTATAATTATATTAATATATTAGATTAGCTATTATAGTAATATATAATATTTAGTAATGTAATATTATGTAGGTAATAATTAGTGTATGTATTATATATATATATTGTATATAAATGTATGTATTATATATATATATAATTATAGTATATGTAGGTATGTATTATCACGCTAGCGTATGTGATATAAATTATATATATTATATAATATAATTATATGTAGTATATATATTAATATATTATTATACTAGTATGTATGTTATAAATATATATTAGATAATGTATCTTGTATATATATGTACTGTATATTTTTTATATGATGTATGTATATATATATAATGTATATTGTTACGTATGTATATATACTATTATTATTTATGATGTATGTATATATAGGTATGTATATAGTATGTATGTATGTAAGTATATTATATAGTGTAATATGTAGTATATAGTTATATGTATTGTATATATATTGTAGTAATAGTATATAATATTATATTGGATGTTGTATGTATATATATGTATCCAAGTATGGTATATATATATATATTATATACATAATATACTTTTTATATAGGTAATATAATTATATATATTTTCGTGTTGTTGTTGTTATATAGAGCTAATAAATAACCGCTAATCTAATAAATAGGGTATTTATTAGGCTCTTTAATAATATATCTTATATATGTGTGTTATATAGTGTATGATATAATAAGTATATATACATATATGTATGTATATATATACTATTTAATAGCATATTATGTGTGTGTATATATCGAGTTAATAAAGTAGGAGACCGGCCTGCTTTGCCCCGGCGGTCGTAGAGACCTGAGGAGGCCGAGTGGGAAAAAACTCCCGGCACCCTGGCCGCGTTGTTGTAAACTACTAGAGCATGCTTCGTGACAGCTGCTGTTGATGCTGTGAGAGGGGGGAAGGTTTCTTGCTTCGCGCGTGGAAAAAACAATCAGTGTCCAGGAACTGCGTGATCCTTGTGCTCGTCCGTAATATCGATCATTCGATCTCGGCGTAATCGAAATCATTCGATCGCGTGAATCGAATCATTCGATGTTCCGTGATTCGAAGCATCGATTCCGTTAATACGACATCTATTCGATCCGTAATCGACAGTCATTCGAACGTGAATTCGAATCATTCCGATCCGTGAATGCGATCGATAGATTCGATCCGGAATCGACGCATTCTAGTCCGTGAATCGAAGCATTCGATCCGTGATCGCATCATTCGATCCGATAGAATCGCATGCATCGAGTCCGTGAATGCGAATCATTCGATCCGTGATCGTAAGCATTTCGATCGTGAATCGATAGCATCGATCCGTTAATCGAAATCATGCTCGATCCGTGATATTGTTATAGTGAATATCAACCATAAAACAAACATCGAATTATGAAACAAATTACATGCATACTCAGGACTGCGTTCTATCTACTGTCGTGCGTGCAGAAAATGCAAAGTACGTAGTATATAGGCCTATAACTATAAGTTTTTCATACATGGTGCATGTATGTACGCATTGTTCGTGGAACGTGTCCCTGCCAGCATTTTTCAACCTCTCTCTTCATCGTCACCACATCCCTCTTCAATCCGCGCACCTCCACCTCTGACTAGGGATGCTGCTCTCCCCCACTGACGTGAACTGGCCATCCAGGTCTTACATCGCAATATCGGCCGGGCCGGAAATTTTCTCATCCTCAAGCGGAACTTCTCTCATCCTCGACATCCTCCGCTCCCCAAACCTCCTCCTCCTCTCCTCCCCTCCTTCCTCCCTCCATTCTCTCTCGCTTACCTCCGCTGACGTGGCCTGCATAAAGAGATAGCTCGGGGAGGTCGAGCACAGCGCATGTCTCCCCCTCCCTTCCTCGCCCCTCTCCTCCTCCCTCTACCCCCTCGACTGCTTCCTCCCTTCTCTCTCCCTTACCTCCGCTGACGTGGACCTCGTACAGAGAATACTCGGGGAGGTCGAGCATGCGCATGTCCGGCCGGAACTTCTCTCATCCTCCCCATCCTCTCCCCACAACTCCCCCTCCCCCCCCTCACTTCCTCCCTGCTCCCTCCTTGCCTCCTGCTCTGCCTCGGCTTCTCTCTCGCCTTACCGGTCCGTCCTGAAGTGGACGCTTCGTACAGCGAATACTCGGAGCGTCGAGGCATGCGCCCATAGTCGGTCCGAACTTCTCTCATGCCTCCAATCTCCATTCTCTCCGCCACAAGCCCCCCCTGCGCCCCTCCCACTCCTCCCTCCTCCTCTCCTCCTCCTGCCGGCGTCTTTCTCTCTCCGTTACCCTCCGCTGATCGTGCACTCGTACAGCGAATATGGCGGGGAGGTCGAGCATGTATGCGCAATCCGGCCGGAAGCTCATCTCGGATGAAGTGTTCGACGACGTCCTCGGGTCGTCGCGGTGCTGGAGACCCGGATGCACTTAGTCGCCACCTTCTCGCCCTCCTCCTGGT